GGTTAGAAAAGTTATAGTTGTCATATATGAGATACTCATACAAATTCCAGCCTGTTTGTCAACTCTTTTTGCCATATGTCTATTCTTATACAAGTAGCACAATACCCTAATTATTAAAAAGAATTATAAGATAATTCTTTTCCCTGACAATAAATTATTAGAGGAAAACTATACAATGTATTTATGTTTAAGTTCACTTAAATATTAATATTTTTTTAAACCTAATGGGAAATAATTAACATAAAACTTCTTTCACAACTAGGACATGTCATTAATAAAAATTTATTTTCTGTTTTTAGTGTTTATTAATTAAATACATTTTATGTATACCATCAGTATTCAACTTTAAAAAGAACTGTTCAGCATTCTCACTGGCTTACACATTTACTTAATAAATATTTACTGTATTAATTTCCAAGCGTCATGCTAGGATTAGGGATTACCTTCTTTAAGCACACAGTCTAATAGACAATTAAACAAATAAATAAACTGTATAAATTCAAGAAGGGAAATAAAGATGATGCTATGATAGAAAATAAGGTTATTGTAGGTGGAAGCTACTTTGCTATGGTAGGAGGTAAAGCTTCTGTGAGGAGGCGATGACCTTTAGCCAGACACCTGAAGAATGAGTACTCTCCAGTCATATGAAATACAGGGAAGAGAGCCAAAACCTAGGAACAACAAACAAAAAAGATCACGAGGCAGGAAAGTGCTTGGCATAATTAAAGAACTAAAAGTTAGTTTGATTGTGGCATGGTGAGCAAATGCAAGAACCACATAAAATGAAGTTAGGAACGTTGTGATATTTTACTCTAAACATTATGAGAAATGTTTTATGTTAAAAAGAGACATAACCTCATTTATATTTCAAAATGAACTTCAGCAAAACTATAAAAAAAAAGAACAAAGATTAAAAAGACAAGAGGTAGCCAGGACATGGAAGCAACCTAGATGCCCAACAGCAGATGAATGGATAAGGAAGCTGTGGTACATAAACACCATTGAATATTACTCAGCCATTAAAAAGAATTCATTTGAATCAGTTCTATTGAGATGGATGAAACTGGAGCCCATTATACAGAGTGAAGTAAGCCAGAAAGATAAAGACCAATACAGTATACTAACGCATATATATGGAATTTAAAAAGATGGTAACGATAACCCTATATGCAAAACAGGAAAAGAGACACAGATGTACAGAACAGACTTTTAGACTCAGTGGGAGAAGGCAAGGGTGGAATGTTCAGAGAGAACAGCATTGAAACAAGTATACTATCAATGGTGAAACAGATCACCAGCCCAGGTTGGATGCATGAGATAAGTGCTCAGGGCTGGTGCGCTGGGAAGACCCAAAGGGATGGGATGGAGAGGGAAGTGGGAGGGGGGATCAGAATGGGGAACACATGTAAATCCATGGCTGATTCATGTCAATGTATGGCAAAAACCACTACAATATTGTAATTAGCCTCCAACTAATAAAAATAAATGGAAAAAAAAAAGACAAGAGGTAAAAAAAAACACTTAAGAGATGATTGTAGTAATCCAGGGAAGTCAGAACCAGAGTACTCTTGCCACAATTAAAACATTTTAACTTTGTTCACAAAACTATAGAAATTTATTAGAAATATTTAGAAAGAAAAATCATGACATTGGCTCTATTAGAAAATATTTATTATATGAATATATTATATTAAATATAAATTATATTTCATTACATTATTTTATTATTTTATATAATAGTGTTACTTAAGATTTTGTCATCAGTAACAGACTAGAGACAAGTCCAATGATGAGACTATACAATACTCAAAGAAGTATTGTATTCAAAGCTATGGCTTTGAACTGAAGAACTATCAAAGATGAAGAAGAGAGAGGCCAAAGAGCTAGTTCAGAATTTTCTAAAAGCCTTAATCATGAGGAGAAAAAAGGGAGTGAAATGTGAAGGAGCTGAAGAATAGTCCAGATCAGTCTTCTCAAAACAGAAAATAAAGCACCATAGCTTGTATTATTTGACTCCATAGACATAAATTTAAATTTTGATAAATATAATCAGAATGAAGGTAACAATGGCAAAAAAAATAAAAATTATCCATGTTGTTCACCGAGAGTGTGTGCATAGGTGATCAATCTAGACAAATGTCATTATACTTGTAACTTTTTCAGTACACAGAATAAATAAACAAAAAGTTTTAAACAAAGAGTGATTCCCCCCAAAAAATGTCTCTAAAAACATTTTGAACAAATATTGGGAATATAAGTACTTAAAGTTTATAGTGTGATGGACATTTTGCTTGTGAACTTATCTAAGTAGAAATGGCAAATATTAGTACTCATGGGAATAACATATAACTTGCCTATTTTTGTTTTAATAACATGCAGAATAGAGAGAGCTATTTTATAGAGGTATGTTGACAGAATGAGAATTCCGAGAGCTCAGAACATGTATCTATTTTACAACTTTTATCCAAAATGAAGCTAGAAATACTGTATCTTCAAAATATATCCTCAATGTTTATCAACATTCAATTCCAATGATTTATATCATATAGTTATAATCAAGCATAAATATAGCTCAATTAAAGATTCCATTTTCATAAATTTCTTAATTATGAATCTTCTTTTAATGAAAAATACAAGACATTCTATCAAAAACATAAAATAATAGGAGATAACTTTTCAAGATGAGCAAAATTAAGATCACTCTTAAAGACTGAGATACTTTACTGGTAGTAACTATCAAATATAAAATAATGTTATTAAAATAATTATTATTAAACTATGGAAAATGTAGAAACTGCATACTACCAAAATTATAACTTTTATTTTTGTCCTTTAATCTATTCTGATACATGCTGCAATCTCTCCTGCTTCGAAGTACTGAGCTCATTTAACAAATATTATATGTCTGACAAAGAAGCCAGTTCTATTACATATTTACAACTGGAATGAAACTGTTTTCTTATCCTGCAAAAATACTATGAATTGACTTTGCATTTCCAACATCATCAATAGAACTTTTCTTCTTAATAACCACTGCATGACAGCATGCAGTAATAGTCATTTATGATCACCTTCCATATTATCACATAATAAAGAGAAGAGGAAATTCACCACATCAACCTTAAAGTAACCAAAATTTTAAAATACCCTTAAGACCTTTGTACATTTCAGCTAAAATTGTTTCATAGCAAACCTTTCTAGATAAAAAACGCACTGCATAGATATTCTGATGCAGGCTTCTGAATCTGGTTAGCTACTCCAGAGTTTATTCCAGTCACTGCAGTTAACATTTTAGAACAGACTTCTACACAAAACAAACTCCAGACAACAATCCAATCTAATCTAATCTAATCCTTCTTAGTTTATACAACTCAGAGTTAGATACTTTTTGTAAGTGCTAAAAGCTGAAAAGAATTTTTTCCTTTATATTATCATTGTGTTCAAATTTGCATTTATTAAAAAAAAATCAGTGCATTCAAATTATAATAAACACTTTGCTGCTTTATTTGTTCTATGAGTTGGTCTTCCATATCATTAGCTGATGGATGAAGACACTGGTGATCATCTGGAGTTCAGGTACCTTCTCTAAAATTACTCCTGTTATTGGCAGAATTCAGTCTGTTGATGTTTGTAGGCTTAAGTCCCCCACTTTCTTGCTGACTGTTAGCCGAGAGGTACTCTCAGCTTCTACAAGGCAATCTCAGGTCTTTGCTGTATGGTCACTTCCATCTCAGCAACAAAGAACTTTCTTTATGTCATATCCCTTTCACACTGAGGTGCTCTCACATCCTGTTCTAAACAAGCCAGAGAAAACTCTCCACCTTTACAGGGCTAGTGTGATTAGTTTACTTGAGCCATCTGTATAATTACCTTTTCTTAAAAGCAACTGTGCTAACATATATTACATAACCTAGTTACAAGAATAAAACCCATCATATTCACTGTCCCAGGAAGTATGTAGCGTGTGCACACAGGAAAATCCTGGGTCAGGGGGTGGGGGCAGAGTTTGGCTCACCTTTGTTCTTCACAGAATAATCTCATGTTACTCTTAACCAGAGGCATCATTCTGGCTGTTTTATTTTTCATCTCTGAAACTTTCAATTGGTTCTTTAAAAATGCTTTCATTTTTCTCTGTATTAATTTTTTCCTTCATATTGAAAAACATCTTGGACATACTTACAATAGCTGTTTGAATGCCCTGATCTGACAACTCTGCAGTATGTATGTACCCCTTCTGAATCTGCTTCGGTTGATTTTTTTGTTTCCAGCTTATGCATCACATTTTTTTCTTTGCACACTTAACAATTTTTATTGAATGCTTAATGTTGAATAATTGCATTGCTTGGAGAATTTTTTGTATTCCTTTGAAAAGGGTTGGAATTTTGTTCTGACAGAAAGTTAAATAATTATAGATCACTGTGATGCTTTCGAGGCTTGTTTAAAATCTTTTTACTTGTCATTCTATGGTAGCCTTCATTTTAGAGCTAATTTGGTCCCACTAACAAGGTGGGACTTTTCTGTGATCTCTTCTGCATGCCACCACCATGCATCTTATTATCCATATAATTAGGCAGCCTTAGTCTGAAGATGATACTTGAAGAAATACAATGGAATACAAATATAAAAACTATATTTTGCTCTCAATAAGTGAAAGTGAAGTTGCTCAGTCATGTCTGACTCTTTGCAACCCTGTGGACTGTGGCCTACCAGGCTCCTGCATCCATGGGATTCTACAGGCAAAAATACTGGAGTGGGTTGCCAATTCCTTCTCCAGGGGAATCTTCCCGACCTGGGGATCGAACCTGCACGGGATCGAATCTCCCACACTGCAAGCAGACGCTTTACCGTAGCCAGGTACAAATACAATGTATTATATCTCCATGAAACCTGAGCCGTATGCTGAGGTGTTTATAAACAACTACATTAATGGATGGTTATTGTATAACAATTGATGAAATTTAAGAATACCCAAACAGGTCAGGAGATGAGGTCAATATTACCTTTGTAAAATGAGTGGGCAAAGCTCTGCTCAGGAATTAACTTGGCAAGGAATCCATGGTTCAAACTTGGATGAGGGATAGATGGTATGACCACAACTGTGGAGAAAATCATGGAATCAAATTTGAGCCAGCATGTAACAACCTGCAACATGGTCCACTGAAGATCCAAGACAATTCTATATCACTGCAACATGCAAACAGTACTAGCAATAAAGACCGTGTCTCTGGAGGAAGGAAAGAAGTTATGTATTAAGAGAAAGGAAATAACATACTTGTTAAGTAGAGTCATTTTAGCAACAAACACAGAGACATACAAATACACAAGAAAGTCAGAACAGGAACGTTCACTAAAATATTGCTTGCTTTATACATATATGACTGAATGCATTAAAAATGAAGAGACAGTTGATTAACATATAGAGTCTTTGTGTTTTAAATGGTTAAAAGAAAGAAACTGGAATGTTAGGATAACATTTGTCAAGTAAAAAGTTAAAAGTAAGATTATACTATAAAGAAATACCACATTTATGTACTCAAAATAAATATAGCATGCAACAAAAAAGAATTAAAGTTAAACATAATCTGTATTTCCATACAGAAACAAAAAGTAAATGAGATATGACATGATTATGGAAAACAAAATGCAGAGATTTGACCACTAATTTCTACTCGTTTTTTAAAATATTCAATTAATGTATATATCATATGCATTTATTCAGGAAGGATAATTTCTATTACAAACTAATCTAGTGGTACCTGAAAAAATCCCTGGGCTGCTAAGGCAACACTGCAAACAATAGAGAAACAACCCTGATGTAAACACCTGGCAGGAAATGCAATAGACTAAACCCATCCTGTGATATTAAAATATGAGTTGCCAAAAAATGTGTTTATCATTTCCAAGCAGAGTAAACAAAGCTGATAATACATGAACTCTTACAACATAAGCATCTTCTATAGATGAGGAAGACATGACCCAAACGGTTCACTGCTGTCTAGAAATTTTTTACTTTAGTTGATGTAACTTTGGTATAAAATTCAGAATGTATGCTTGTTTATTATAAATCTCTGGCTGAATATTTAGATACTGAAATAACTATACATATTGAAAGAAAGAAAGGGAGACGGAAAGAAAGAAAGATGCTACTGAACTTGGCTACAAAGATTTATAGTTTGGTTTACTGTTGATTTTGTACTACTCTATAAGGACCTCCTACTTTCATATGTTTATAAAGGTTAAAAATAATACAATTAAAATATATGAGTTATTTGTATATTAAGTAGCAGCATAGATGTTTTATGTTAATAAACAGAAAAACTTAACCCAAAACCCTGATAAAATGAGAATATAGCAAGTATCATTCTACATTTTTGTGTAATTAAGCAAGATTAAATTGCCATTTATATACTGCCTACTTATAAATACTTGAGATGATTATGAATAGAACCAGTTTAAATCTAGATGTAAAAATTAAATAAAAAGGAGATAAATGATGATGAAAATTCAAATAATTAGAAAAATATTAAGTACCTGTACTTGTTGGTGAATTTATTTCTTGTCTGATGTTTCTACCTGGTTGGCTTCCAGTTCTTGCAGTCTCTCGCTGGGGTTCTAAAATGTCACGATACTTGGAAACCATCAGAACCGAAATGAAGTAAACAACAGCTAGAGCTAAGAACTGTGCCTGCTTGCTATCATCCTGCGTAAAATGAAAAGGTAGTTTTGACACTCAGAAAATTTTAAGTATAAGTTCTCAGAGTATAAGAAACTATTCCTGTCTTATTTTCTTTATGGAGGAAAACATACAACATTTAACTTTTGCTAAAACTTGGTAAGCATATACTGTTAGCATTATCTAAGTATATATTAAAAAAAAAAAAACTCTAGAAACATACCATCTGATTTATAGGTTGAAATGTAAGTTAAAAAATGAAAATGTTAAAATTTCGCTGAATATGCCACAAAATTTATTATTTGTCCTCTTCACTAGTATCTATTACATCTATAACATCAGAGAATGTATATTTATAAGATATGCAGATAGCACAAGCTTGAAAAGAAAAATTTAATGTCTGGCTAAAAATGTCAAGAGTTTCAAATACTATAACTGAAAAATAATAACAGAATAAAGTTACTATTGGAATACAGATACAATTCTAACATATCACTACCTGAGCAGGAAATATGAGTAAAATAAGGGAGAGATAAAAATCAGGGAGCATAAAGCATGAATTTTATACAAGTTCAATATGGCAGCTTCAGAAAAAGCTAATGCAATGTTTGACACATGAACAGATAAAAATAAATAACAGCCCCACTATTCTGTACTGGAAAAATAACCTCATTTTTCCAGTGCAGAATTGGGAGCCAATATTTGAGGCTCCAAATTTCAAAAGCTCAATGACAAAATGAAGAAATTATTCCAGAGGATAGCAGTGAAGTGGTAAAAAATCTGAAAAAGATTGACCATGTTAGGATAAAGAGATAATAGTTATTCATTTCTTTGAAGCAGAACTGCATATAACATTGAAAGCTCTATTGGCCTAGGTAATTATCCTATAGGGATAAAAATGTTAAATGACCTCTAAAACTATTTTCAGATTAGATTATATTTAAGGAATCATAAATAGATGGTTATTAGGCCTTTTTTCTAAGTTAGGTAAAAGTGATGCTTCAAACCAAAACCTCAAGTAATTACCATGGCCCATAGATAAAACAGAAATAAGGAAAACAAACATGCATTAAAGTCTATTAATTCCATAAACAGTCACTTTACATTCATTACTTCATTTAAGCACTACGTGAACAAGACTCAAAATTTATGTGCATTTGTCAGAAAAAAAAAGCAAACAAGAAATATTTACGGATGATTTAATACTCTGAAATAGAATTAGTATAGGTAATGGAGAAAATGACCCAAATAGATTACATTTGTTCTGAAATATTGTGAATTTAGTGTTTCATACTCTGTGGGTAACAGACAGCTTTTAAATACATCACTTTTCCTTAAATACCTAAATTTTAAAATCTCATATGCTTCTGAACTTAAGGCAACCTAAAGTGACTTGAACAGTTCAACTGACTTTATCTACAACTGACTTTAAAATATAACAATTAAAAAATACTTCCAAATTTTGGAGATTATTTAAAAGAAAAAAAGTTCTCCTTGGAGTTTATGAAATATGGTGGTAAAAGGGAGAGAATGCTTTGGAATGGCCTAATTTGGGATTCTGACTCTTACCTCATCCTAGCTGTGTGATCTTAATACTTCTTAGTCTTAGCAGCTTTTTCTTAACCTTTTACTGAAAGTTGAGGGTAATATATATGTGTCTGATACACAGTGTAAATTGAATGAACAAAAGTTATGTTACCTCAATGATGTTTGGAAGGAACACCTGAACATTAATTCCCTTCCTTCAGGAAGAAAGCTAATAAGAACCATTGTAGGGTTATCCAATATACAATAGTTACAAAACATCCATAGATATTAGAAAAATTATACAATCCACCATAATAACCTGATACAGAACTTACTAACAATTTAAATGCAATGTCACACAACATAAATTTCTTCTATGTTAGGTCTGAGTGAATCTCTTGGAGATGAAAACATGATCCGTGTTTAAATCATCTATCATTTTAAAAAAATTCTTCCACAATACAGTCTTTTTTTCAGGATAAATAATTCCCATTTCTGAATGGTTAAACTGTTAGTATTTTTTTCTAAGTCCAGATTATGCAGATCCTTACATCAAGATTTTTACACTATTAATGCGTTTTATCTCCCATTTAAAAAATTACTTTACTTTTATTAATTATGAAAGCAATACAGATTCATTATAAAAAATTGAAAATTTAAAAAAGTACAAAATAAAAAGTGTTTACCTAGAGATAAAACTGGCAGCATTTGGGTGCCTTTTTTTAAATGAAGGTGAACATGTGCATGTACGTATACTTGACACACAAAAATGCAGTTATTTGTGTAGTCTAAGTACTTTTGTATAGTGCTTCTTTCCCTTACAATATATCATGAGTATTTTACATGTCACAAAGTTTCCTTCAAAAATATGATGTTAATAGCTACATAACTTCCTGCTAAATGAATATATTGTGATTTATTACACTCTGTGTTGGATATTTATGACGTTGCCAATTTTCCTGAGGACAGCTCTGATAAGCACATGATGAGTAGAACCAATGGGTCATAGGCATCAAATTTGTAAGAGCTTTAACACAATGTAAAAAGCTATTTAAAAAGTTTATCCAATTTCTACTCCTACCAGTGATAAATGATAGAGCACTTTCAGTATACCTTTGTAATGACAGATACTATTATTTTAAATTTTTAGTTTTTGGTAAAAATATCTTACTCTGGTTTAATTTGTATTTCTTCAACTGCTAGTTACACTGACTTTTAAATCATATCTTTATCACCTTATTTTCATATTTCATAGCTACTGCCTATTTTTCTGTTGGTATGGTTGCAATTTTCTTAGTGATTTATAAGAACTGTTATACATTAAAAAGAATGTGAATTTTTCTATTATATATTTCTACCATGTAGTATGTATTAAATATTTTAACCACTTTCTCAAGTACAAAGTACTCTATCCAAGTTATTATTAAATGCAAATTTAAAATATAAATGTCTATGTTTCATAAATCAACAATTAAAAAAAGAAAAATAGAATCCAAAATTGCTGATAAATAACAACTGTAATAAGAAGTACTACCAACATTGAGTCTGCTGTGAAATGCTATGGATGCTTCTACACAATTTGTGGAAGGGCCAATCTTATTTTTACTTACTTTGAATAATTGATCATATAATCAGAGGGGTCTATGAAATTGTATCCTTAAGCTATATTTTCAATACGCTTTAAAAAAAGCAATCTTTCTAACTCAAATTCCCATTGGTATCTCTATTTCTAAATGCAGATTCTTCTCTCAAAAGTAATTGTCCCTAAAAGTAATTCCCAAGAATATCTTTATGAAGTAATCTCTTTTACCAATAATACAAGGAACACTGATAATAAAAAAATATTCAGAACCTAGAAATGGAGCAAGGAATACTAAAAAACAGGAATTGTTATTTAAGATAAAATCAGCTATAACCTTCAAAGTTATCTCCATTCTTAGTATACATACAAATTAACTATAATTTTCACATCATTAAAAAGTAACATGAATAAGCTTTCAGAGAAAGCTAAGCTCAATCATTTTACAAACAGAAGCGCATTATAAACCTACAATCCCTGACACTAGGACACTGAGTTTTAAAATGCAAGTTTCCTATGAAATTTAAATTATTTTACACAAATTACAGTGAAAAGTCTTCTTTTTTTTTTGGGAAATCAAGCAGGCATAACTCACCACATCCCGAAAGACAACTGCACGTAGGCGATTGATATCAACATCCTGAAGAAGCCTATCGGGATCCTTAATTGGAGAAAGGTTACCTGGAACATTCTCTAGTGGAGTCTTAAAAAAGAGAGAGAGAATTGTGAAAAAATAGTATAATACAGAAATTTATATTAATTTCTATTAATAATACCTTCAATTTTGTAATTAAACTGGCCACACACTTTACCTTCTCTCATCACTGAACAATATTTATTGACAATAAGGTTATAAGTGGGCACTTCTGTTCTCTTCTACTTTTAACCATGGTTTCACTTACTAATGTTCTTGTTCTTCATCTGCATAGCTACTGCTATAGATAAAGAAAGGCTGGAGGACTGTGGCAGAAAAAAAAGACTAAACTCTTACTCTGGGCTCAAATCTCTCCTGTGTGACCTCAAGCTTGTTACTAACTTTTTCTAAGCTTTACATTCCCTACCTCTAGTTAACAAGCCTCTTGAAGTAATCAGGTTCATTTATCTGTCATGTTTTCATAATATGTGAGATTATTATGTTACATTATTATATGAAATTTCATCTGTGAAAGCGTTCCATGATCCACAAAAAGTCAGAAAAGGTAAGCAAAAAATGTTTTACTCAGGCCTTAATATTAAAGCTGAAAGACATTAAAGATCATTACCACTAAAATCCTTTTTATATCAGAAGACACAAAAATCCACTAATTTTAGGTAACATGTCACATAGCAAACTCGTAAGACAGCCAAGATCCCTGAAACTCAGCCAAGTACTTTTTCACTTACAAAACATAAGAATTGTGTGAATTAAATTAGATAATGTATGTAAAGTATCAAATACAACTCCTGCATATAAAAGTAACTCTATTTAATAATAAACAGGACTCCTTCTATTTTCTATAAACCTCAACTATACTATTCCACTCTTAAATTAAAATATTTGATTCTCTTGCAGCACACGAGTACAGTATTTGAAGGTTAATAGTTACTTTACTTCCATTACAATTCCAAAACTTACCAGCTCTATAAGCTTAGATGAGCTTAGCTTTAAATTTAAATAATAGGCTAATGATCTTTATCAAAGATGATTAAAGAAATAATATACTATTTACAATACAGCTGAAAAAATACATATATTTTAATTTACATACTACTTTACAGTTTACAAAGTACTTCTATGTCCATAATCTAATTAGACATGTGTTTTGTAGGAAAATCTTATTTAATACATCCTTTTTAGAAAATATAAAAAATGAGGCCCAAAGAAAATGTGTGGCTAACACAAGTCCACTCAGGCTCGTAACACATTGAAATTATTATAACTATGGTTTACTTACTCAAGTGCCACATTAAAAATGCATAGAAATGGGGAAACAACTCTCACAAACTTGGTTCACTGATTCTCTGTTTTGAAACATGTTTTCTTACCAAGTCAACTTTTCCTCTAATAGTTCTATATCCATAACTTATAATCTAATTTTCATTGCTAAGGTTCTTCCTAAAAGGACAGACTGGCTCAAATATCATGAATTTCCTGCTCATTGAGTTTTTCTGTCCATATTCTATCATCAGTGTACTATTAGGTTGGTATACAAGTAATTATGGTTCAGACCATGCATTTTAAATCATTATAACTAGGCTGAAACACATCTTTATTAATCAAAACAGGAACCATTACAATCAACGCATTTTGCCAGCAGGAAATAAAAATTTTGCTTATTCCTGTAGCATAAAAATCTATGCTTCAGGATTCAGTGAACTCTTGGAAAACTTTTCTGCTTCTTGCTGGTTGTGGAACCGTTTTTCCCTGCAAAAAGTTGTCAAGAGGCTTGAGGAAGTGGTAGTTGATTGGCGAGAATTCAGGTGAATAAGGTGGCTGAGGCAAAACTTTGAAGTTCAATCCATTCAACTTTTGAAGTGCTGGTTGTGCAATGTGTAGTCGGATGTTGTTGTGGAGAAAAACTGGGCATTTTTTGTTGACCAACACTGGCTGCAGGCGTTGCAGTTTTTGGTGCAGCTCATTGATTTGCTCAACAATTACTTTTGCACCAACCTAATACTTGGTTTGACAGGCCTGAAAAGCTCCTATTATATACTGAATTAACTACAGTCACCTTTAAGATCTAAGCACTCAAAAACACTAACTTATTTATTTCATGACACATATATTGATTGGTTAACTCCTAGAGAGAGGAAAGGAATTAGCATTAGTTAAATGCTCACTTCATTTCTCAAATTACTAAAAACTTTAACATATTACTGTTTTTTATTTAACTCATACAAACACCATATAAATTAAGATATATGTCCACTTTAAAAACTGGAAAACTGAGGAACACGAGAGTAAGAAATTTGTTTCATTTCACAAAACGAGTAAGTGGTAGAGGCAAGATACAAACTCAGAACTGTTTGATTCTAGAGTTTGTGCTCTTTTATAAAGTAATCACAGCGCTATACACAATCTGCAATTGAAAAGATGTAAAAGGCATGAACACACTCTCAAGTAACCTACAGTCTCCTGCGCCTACACAAATAACTAGAAGCAACACTGCTAATGTGTTTGCATTTAATTTTCTAAGCAATGGAGGGCTTTGTGGAGACTCATCAACAGTAAAATAATATATGGTTTAATTATTCTAGGAATGTGTCCCTAACAGTAGTGAAAAAGTACGAGGCTATAAAACAGATAAGCTAAATGTGTGGTTGTTCTGACTGAAAACTGCAAAAGTTTGAAGCGAAGAATTTTTTTTAATGAATTAAAACTCTTACTTCATTCCTTCACTTATTGAACCTTCACTGGTCAGTGTCAAACATCTAATTACAAGCACCATGAGTGGTAAAGAGAGATACTGAGTTTTACAGAAATATCAAACAAAGGAACCTCCTTTAGACTGAGTTGGCAGTGAAGGTATTAGAAAACATTTTACTCAAAGTTGAACTTAAGCTAATGCCAAAAGTGGAACATATTTACTGGGGTGAAAAATAAGGATGGGAACCTGAAGAAAAGCAAAGCCACGTAAAAGTTATAAGGTTAAAAAAAATTCTTCTGATGAACTGTACGAAGTCTACAGTGTGACTGAAATAAAATAGTAATACATAAATAAAATAGTAAAAGCAAGGGTAAGAGATTCCAAGCTGTAGCTGAAGTAAGCGACAAAAACATACAGGAACTAAAAATCGTTACTAAAACTTTGGAAGTGATGCAAATGGTCATATGTAAATATGAACATATGTTAAATAGAGCTAATTTAGAATGACAATCACTGCTGCATTCTGAAACACTGTATACCATACATGCTCATTTCATGGGCATTCAATAACTTTTGTTGAATGCCATGGGAATTCTATCCCCCAAAGCATAACCATTTACAAAGTACATTATTCATACACAGAACTTGGTGAAAATTTAACTACTGAGGTTAGTAATAGTTAAGAACTTTTCAGTGCTATGAACTGATATAACCTTTATAAGAATCCTATGAATTAGAAATTACTAGAATCTTCCTTTGAAAAATGAAATTGTTAGTCGCTCAGTTGTGTCCGACTCTTTGCAACTCAATGGACTGGAGCCCATCAGGCTCCTCTATCCATGGAATTCTCCATGCAAGAATACTGGAATGGATAGCCATTCCCTTCTCCAAGGGATCTTCCTGATCCAGAGACTGAACCAGGTCTGTGCACTGCAGGTCAATTCCTTAGCGTCTGAGCTACCAGGGAAGCCCAACAACTTGGAAGCAGAGAGGCCAGCACTGGAGACTCCTGTCACTTTGTGCTCAGAAACTTATAAAAAAGGTAAGTTATATTTAACTCAGAAAATGTTTAATTACCTTGGAAGCTGCTGTGGCAGTCACACCTTGGGCAGCTTCTTGAGGTTTACTGCTTCCAAGGGAAGATTTGTTCCCTCTGTCTCTCTGTCTCTGCCGACATTCTAAACAGTTTCTCACAGCAACACAGCAAACTATTTTAAAGAATGAAAGAATACTATTAATATAAATTGCTGACTCTGATGTTATTTTTAAAAGTTGCTTGGTTCTTTTTTTTCTTTCCCTCAACTTTCACCATCCCACTATTGTTCATAAAATCAACCAGATCAATAAATATTTTTAATTAGAAAATACAGTAATGAAAAGCATACAAAAAAATTCATGTAATTAAAAAAGTGAAAACAAATTACCATAAACTATCAACCAACTCAAGAAACAACACTACTATATTTGAGGCTCCCAATATATCCTTCCTTATTCTATCCCCTTCCATCCTTCAAAATTCTTAAATTTTTAATTAAAATTAATTAAAAATGTATTCATATTTGATTTTTTAAAATAATAATTATCTGCCCATAATTTGCCTATCTTAGTGACCATATAGAGCACGGCTCCCCATTTTAGGCAATAATAACGAGGTACATCTGTACAGCCGCATCTCACAAGTCCCAATATCAACTTGTTTTCATGGTGGCAAAGTCACCTTCATCAACAAACATTCAATAATTATGTACTTGCTTTCTATTTACTTAATTATCATAAGAATCAGCAAAGCATAGTAATAAATAGTACAGATTTTGGAATCAGTCCCCATAAACCTGAATCTGGCTTTGCCACTTATGAGCTGTGTGATCTTGGGCCAGCTGCTTCAGCTACCTGTGCCTCAGTCTCCTCATGTGTAAAATGAGTACAAACACAGTGACTTCCTTAGAGGACTCCCCTGAGGATTAGCTGGATCGATACATGCAAAGTGCTTAGAAAGGTAAACAGTACATATTGATACCTCATATTGATACCTCATATTGTTTACCTCATTATTACTCAGTTGTAAAACTTCCCTGTGAATGATAAAAACCAAATCTGCTAAAAATTACCATTTAAAAAATGAAATCAGCAGTAAAACTTAGGAATATATTCAGAAATAAAAGTTCTAAATAACCAAATAAATGCAGTTTTTAAGATATTCAGGCATTAAAAAATATTTCTCTTTCTCACGAAGCTCAATCTGTCAGCTTATTATTAAATACCAATGGAAATGTCCATATGGCCCACAGTAAATAATCCTACACCTCTTGGCTGAAGTTATCCATGTGGTCAATCTCTTCCTAACAGGACGTGAAATGATTTGTCGCAGAAAATACAAAATGGCATTAAAAAGTAGATTTATCCCACCATTCTTAAATCAAGCTCTTATTTCTTTCTTGGATTAGAAACTTGTACCCTGAAACTATACATATGAAGATTTTTTACATAACCTTTTAAATAATGGGTGAAAAGAATACATGTCAAGAACATCCTATCTAATGCCTTATTACTTTCTCATATCCTCCCTGTTCACACTCTAAGGCAAGTATGAAAACAGTAGCCATTTTTGTCTGAAAACAGTAGTTGTCTGGTCCCCTGTATGACTAAACAGTAAAATTAAATTTTGCCTTTATAAAAGGTAAAAGATGTAAGAATGAATACTGCCTAAGGAACTGGTCAAATTTACTAAGAGTTTTCAGGGCTAAATTTTATTTGTAACACAAGATAGCAACAAAAAAATCGTAGCTATAGTAATATCTACTAGTATTAAATGTTCATTCTGAAAAACAGGGAGACTGGCATAGTCAATTTTATCCTTTAGCATTGTTTATAAAACTATGCTATGGGTTTTCTGACGTATTTGTAGGCCCAGGATAACTGGCCTATGTTTTCATGTACAGAAAAAGAAAAGAATTCATAAATGGATTTACATTAAAATCACTTCAATGAAAAATGCTACTGTCCTACTGATTTTGAAAGAGCTCAAAATATATTCGACTTTATTTCAAATTTCGTTGCTGTTCAGTCTCTAAGTTGTGTCTGACTCTGCAACCCCATAGACTGCAGCACACCTGTCCTTCACTCTCTCCCAGTGTGCTCAAATTCACAGTTCATTAAGTCAGGATACTATCTAACCATCTCAATCCTCTGCCATCCCCTTCTCCTTTTGTCTTCAGTCTTTCCCAGCATCACGGTCTTTTCCAATGAGTCAGCTCTTCACATCAGGTGGCCAAAGTGTTAGAACTTCAGCTTCAAGTTAGAATCCATTAAAGATTTATTCCATGAAATCTCCAATGTGATGATACTATATTTTTTAATTTAGTAATTCTACATTACATAATCAAATTGTATCACTGATACTTTATGTATCACAGAATATAAAAAAATAGTGTGTAGGTAATTATTTAACATGCACCATTATTCTTAACAGACTTACCTAGCCTTAGGCACTGTCGCATTAAACCTCCAGAAGACATGTTTTTTTCAGCTTCAATCTCACTAAAATTTAGAGAGCTGGCAAATACAAGTACATCAACCATAGCCATCAATCGGCTGAGGAAAGTTACTGCTGTTTCAGCTGACATGCCTTGTGTCACTTCAATATTTTCCAATTCCGTCTTTAAGAAAGTAGATTTACATCTTGTTTAAAATTTGGAGATATAATACATGCACATACATACTGCAGCTTAACAGTAGTTTAGTATATTTAGTATATTTTGTAAACAAAATAAGCTATAAATCATAAAGTAATTCCATGTAGTATAAGAGCTGATTATCAAGCTTATTAGCTTAGCTATGAATTATCTTCAAATAAAGAAAAAATTGATTTTTAAAATCAATGTTAGATTTAAATATCATTACTTGGAAAAACCACATTCCAAACTTAAGATTTCATAAAGACACTTAGAAATAATCAATGTAAATATTTATACTAGTTTTGTTCTATTTTAAATTTGTTAACAAAGACATGCAACTCATATTTCTCCTAAAATCCTCATTCTTATTTATAAAAATATGCTAATTTTTCTTTCTTATGAATGTATGATAATAGGAAAGGTATATGGCACTTTCATTTGATATCAAAGGGAGACAACTGTCAACTGTCCAATTAGAATATATGACAATTTCTAATCCATTTCAGAATAAATGAATAAGAAACCACTAGGTACCTTGTATGAGTAACAAAAATCTAGGGTAAAAATACTCAAGATCATTAATTCCTCTACCACTATTAATCAGTGATACTAGCAATAAGAATAATCAGTAGCATTTTAGATTGGCAAAGCTGTACTTTCACTAAAATACTGTCTATGCTAAAATATAATTTTCTGCTTTGAAAGGAAATGGTACAAAGTATTCTGTTTTGTAAGATATGTAACTTTGCATCTTATAAGCAATAGCAACATTTATTCTTTTATTTTTCACTGTATGTTGTATAAGATTTTAATTATTTTGGTTCATTATGCTGCTACTGCTGCTAAGTCACTTTAGTTGTGTCCGACTCTGTGTGACCCCAGAGACGGCAGCCCACCCGGCTCCCCTGTCCCTGGGATTCTCCAGGCAAGAACACTGGAGTGGGTTGCCATTTCTTTCTCCAATGCATGAAAGTGAAAAGTGAAAGTGAAGCCACTCAGTCCTGTCCGACTATTAGCGACCCCATGGACTGCAGCCTACCAGGCTTCTACATCCATGGGATTTTCCAGGCAAGAGTACTAGAGTGGGTTGCCATTGCCTTCTCCTGGTTCATGATGACTAGGCCTCATTTTCTCAGTGCCTCAAAAACAGAGAAAAGGAATACTTTATAAATAAAAAAATACTACTGTTTAAATCATCTGAAAATGGGCAAGCTAGCCATACTGATTAACTTTACTTTTTCACCAAATGACAAATTCAACTACAAAGTAAGCATGTATTATAGGTATCGGCTCCATTTAATGCTCCATTTGACATAACTCACACCCATCATTCTACATAGACAAATACCCACTCACATTAACAGGGAAATGTCAGCAGGAAACACATTAAAAAACAACCTCTTCAACACTTCTTGTTTAAAACATTGGTAAGACAAATGATAGTTGACTAGAGCAAGCACTTATATAACTAAATGATTATAAATGGAGTATAAAAAGGAACAACCTTTATCCCTTCCATCTAACATCAAAATATTGTTAAAACATTCCCTCTAAGAGGAGCTTGGAAATAGACATTTTTTTTTTAACTGTTGATTTATAACATTATGCCAATTGAGCTTCTATGGCCTAAAGAAATTAATTTCATTACTAGGATGCTTTTAAAAATAAAGATTCATTATTTGCTAGCACTTCACTGATATACAGCATCATTTCATAGCATGAATTAAAAATCTGTTATAATAGAATAAAGGCAAAAAATGATTTTATATAAAACTTCCTTTTAAAATCTCAGTTATCAACATAAGTGTTTTACAATGGAATGGAAGATCTGGTCATTGCTTAGGCCTATTAAGCATTCTGAAAACTTTCAAAATATTAGAATTTTAGGGTATCTATACATGGATTCTCAAAGAAATTCATCATTTTGAATTAGGAAAATTATGGAAATCTAACTCATTTTATTAATTAATGATTTTATTTTGAAGTCTTTTGGGGTCTATAAAGTGCAAACATCAAAATATTCAATTTTAAATTAATAAATTATATAGAGACATTATAAACAGCATTATTAATCATCCATGAAATTTGCCAAACTGCTATTTTTAACTAAACAAAATAAAATTTTAAAATTGTAAGTATTCTGGACACAACTAATAACCTAAAAGGAAGTTCCCATTAATTCTAATTAAAAGCAATTTATAAATATGATGAAATGTTATATAAACATCATAATATAGGTCTAAAAGTATAGAACATCCACATATGATTATTATTAAATCTTAATATATATTCTATCCAATTTTCTTTCAGTGGCACCAGTTAAAATCTAGAGGTACATATGACTGAAATATTATTGTTTTCATTATATTATGACAGTTTAGTCTGAAGATTAGTGTAAATAATAAAACAGTAATTCATCAATGCATTGAGAAAATAACCCTCCAGTGAATCTTTCAAATATACCAAAAATATGCCTAATGTTAAAGATGGTATGGAAACTCAAAATATAACCAAGTTAAAAACTTCATAAATAAGCAAAAATAAAATTTAAAACTGAAAACCTGAAAAATTACTAAAGTAATACTAACCTTAGAACCCTGGACATGCATTAGACAAAACAGACAACAGACCAAAAAAGTACAAGAAAAGAAAATCATTAAAATTAAATGAAAATACAATGTAAAATTGAAACACAAAATAATATATTAAAAATTATATCTGATTATTTTATTAAAAGCAAAAATACTCAGAAGAGATATTCATTTTATAAATTACATATGATTAAGATTAAATATCAAATAGACTTCTATTTATTTTTTCCATTCAAGTAACTTTCCAAATAATACATATGTAAATAAAATTCATATATTATAAATATGCAAATTCTATTTTACAAAATAAATATCTTTTCCTAAAAAATGACCAAGGAAACATTTTAATCAACAAACTGACATAATGTCTCTGTAAAAGTCCTAACTTACTATCAGTTTAAGCAGAAATGACAGAAAAATAAACTATACCAACACCTTCTAAAATTTTCATTTTAGAAAATGCTATTTTGTTTCCTAAAATATTTGGAGCCCTTCTTAAAGAACAAAATCTCCAGGAATCAGTAAGACAATAAAATATTTGAGTGATTCTAACTTAAAAACCACTCTCCTTTGCTAGAAAAGAACTTACTGATACACTAAACAATACTGCATGTGAACTAAGATAATCACAGAGACTTTGTACCACATTTCAGAGTATTACTAAGAATTATATTTTAAAAACTAGATACAAATAAGTTTCATGATAAAGTCAAAACTGTTCTTAATCTTTGACTTCTGACATTATATTTCTAAACACTATTTTCAAAGAGTGAGTGCTGTGCTGTGCTTAGTCACTCAGTTGTGTCCAACTCTTTGCGATCACATGGACTGTAGCCAACCTGGCTACTCTGTCCATGGGATTCTACAGGCAAGAACACTGGAATGGGTAGCTATTCCTTTCTCCAGGGAATCTTCCTGACTCTGGGATCGACCCAGGTCTCTTTCGCTGCAGGTGGATTCTTTGCTGTCTGAGTACAGGAGAACATTTAAAAGCATTCTGAGAATATGGAAGTACAGCAAGTGTTATGAGATAAACGAAACAAATAAAAAAATTATTAGTGGTTTTTCCAAATTTATTAGCTACATTTTCTAATAATGGTAAGAAAAGGTAAAACTAAAACTAAGTCCTTATCTTTATTTTTTGCCAGAAATTGTTGTTCTTCATTCTTATGATTATAAAACTACTAGAAAAGGCAGACATATCAGTCTTTATTATTTTTCTGTAACAGAGAATGAAACTGAGTGAAATTCTAAACATCCAGTATTCTGGATTTTTGACCAAAATGGTTGACCACAACCTGAAGTGATTATGCAATTTGTAGCTGATTTACGCTCTTTGTTTATCTTCATTTTTTCCCTCCAATTCCTTGCTTTCATTCATGACCAACTTGGAACAAAGTGTAGAAAATAAATGAGAGGAGTCAACTGACTAGTGATGGAAACATTAACTTCAAAATCTCAAGAACAGTAACAAAATACTGTATGCTAAGTTGCTTCAGTTGTGTCCAACTCTTTGCAACCCTATGGACTGTAGCCCGCCAGGCTCCTCTGTCCTTGGGATGAACTCTCCAGGCAAGAATACTGGAGTGGGTTGCTATTTCCTCCTCCAGTGGATCTTCCCAACCCAGGGATTGAACCTGCATCCCTTATGTCTCCTGCATTGGCTAGCAGGTTCTTTGTCACTAGCGCCACCTGAGAAGCCCAAATAAAAATAATGCTCCTTCCCAAAACCAGACTAGTCAAGCTACATACTAAGAATTTAAAATTTTTTAGCTGACTATTTAAGTTCAACTACTGTTCTAATTTGAAGACTTGCAACTATTTTTGTAACTTATTTTCTATGCTACATAACATTTTACATAATCTAGATAAAACTGAAACTCCAATATTCTTCAATTTCAAGGTGCCAGTATAACACAAATAATGTATATCTGTACTCTTTTTTTTCCTTAAAGTTTCCACTGAAGTATTTCTTTAGAAGTAAGATTAAGCAGCTGCAATTTTTCCATGTGATGACACTACAACAGCAATATACAAATGCTATCCTTAGTATGAGTTATGGTATTCATATAAGGTCCCAGGGCAGAAAATAGACCACCTCTATACCAATGCCATGGAGACAGACAAAAAGATTACACCATTTTACTTTTTGCCATCAAAGTGGATCACCCATAATAACTGACATGGCTCAAATATCCTATTTTAAACTTCAGAATTCTACATTTGGCAGGCTTGTTTTGTAAACGGGGAGATCATTCTATCATGATACAATTCTGAATAAAAAGCTCCAAAAGGAAGTAAAAGGGAAACATTCGGGAAGAGCCTTCTCCATCTAGAGACATTACCTAACTTAAGTGTCACAAGTTCCTGTGGGGTAAGTAAAATTAGCACTGTTAAAATGAAGAAATTAAAGTTGACATCATATCTAGTAAGTGGTAGAACCCAGGTTAAAATACAGATTTATCTTATGCTAAAATGCAAATGCCTTCAGTTAAATCCTAACTGAAAAGAAAATCATGTCTGAATCTCATTGATTACTGGAAAACAAGCTTGTTTTTGATGAAAAGGAGTAAATTATTTGAGATACACACTAATAGAGAAACAGAAAAGCTATCTTCCTGGGTTGAGCTTTTAATAGTGATTTATAAAGAATACTTAGCATTCTACTTACCCACTCAAAATTGCATACAATTTCAACATTAGATGTGTCAAATGCTAAAAAAATTTAGTTGGTTGCAAGTGAAAAAGTTACATATCTTCTACTAAAACATAATGATCACAATATTCAGTGAATTTGTTGAAATTAACTTTGATAAATGCTCATTAAGTCAAATGCAAGCTCTTATTTAATAGGAAACCTGGATTTATCTTACACCCTAACTACTAAATTTTAATGAATTTTTAATTTAATGCTTTACACTGAGACATTATACTATGGTGTTTGTATTTTAGGTCAAAATGGTGCTGTAAGTCAGTGGTCAGCAACCTAGGACCCACAAATCAAATATAAAGTTTTATTGAAACACATTCACATATACTCCTCTGTGTTATAACGTATGTCTGCTTTTGCAAACAACAGCAGATTTAAGTAGTCAGACAGATATTAAACAGCCCTCAAAACCAAAAATATTTATTATATTTATCAACCACTGCATACCAACATTACTCATACTTATTCCTTAGATACATATCGGTATATAATGTATGAGTATTTTTAAAAACTCCACAAACCTGAACAATATTACAGATCACTCAAACATTAGTTTCAAATGTCTCTATCTCTCTTGATATATCTAGGATTGAAATTCTAAGCCATCCATGAAAACGCTTCCCTGCTTTGGTAACCTGCATATTGCCAGTGTTTCCTTTTTGACTTATTCCATCCAGAATTCTCTTTCAGCTTTTTATATTAATATTTTAAATCTAATTTAAAGAAAGTTAACACAACATTGTAAATCAACTACACTCCAAAAAAAATTTCTTTAAAAATCTAAGTTAAAAAGCTCCATGTCTTTAGTTTCAATTTCTTCCTTTATTCAACCTCTTCTTGCTCACTTTTTCCCACTATTAAATTAAAATTTTAGCAAGAGAATTAGGCAATCAAGGAACAGAAAACATTACTTGAAATTGGCACCAACCATGTTTTCTCCCAGTAGGAAGTGGGAGAAAAGGTTCTTGATATTTCTTTTAAGGAAGCAATTCATTCAAAGAATATAAAACTAGCTATGGTGTAGAAGCAGGCACAGGTGCAATCAGTTAATCAGCCAAAATAGCAGAAATACTGAGACAGAGACAATGAAGAAAAGTTTCTACAATTGAATGAATTCCAAAGTCTATTGAAAACAGTCTGAAGAAATAAATACTGCAGTTTTAACTTCTGAATATGGTAGTTAAAACTGCACAGGTAATAATTCTGGAAGTCAAAATATCAGTATCTTTATCATACATTCATTATAAAATTAAAAAAATGAGCAAATCTGGGTAGTATATTATTTAATTCATAATGTTTATTAACACTTTATTCATTATTTTCTCTATCTTGATGGAGATCTTCTAGTTTAGAAAGCTCATAAATATTTCAAATCTATAAAACTTTTCTTATCTACTGCTAATTTTATATAAAAACCACTTCTGTTCTTCAGAAGATTTTAAAACAATATTATACTTTAAAGTAAATTTCAATATAACTTTTTAAAATTTCCTGATAACAATGATAATACTAAACATAAAAAAAGTATATGATGGAGAAAAACCCCAGGATGAAACATTAAGTCAATCTTCAATGGATAGAAGAAACAAAAACCTCTTCCTGTCTCAATATTAAAATATATTCTTAACATCACATGCAAGCCTCAATTTACCAGAATTTGTTATAAGTTACGAGAGGAAATCAGAGATTAAAGAGAGGGATGGTATGTTACAGGATACCTGCACCCTTCACACACCATCAGCTATTTTTGTTCCTGATTCTGTTTCCTTAGCCAATGGTTAATTTCATGAAGGCCCTAATTAGGACCTGATCTGCTGCACTCCCTTCTGAACTAGCCTTGCCTTTGGAGACTCTTGAATAAATTTATGGATGAAAGAGAAGTATATGTGTGAGGCAGAAGTGTGCTGAGGCTGTATACACTCTTTTGCTGCTAATATTTAAGTTTCAGGGCTGCTTCAGGGATGATGACAAAGGGAGAGTGAGAAAAAGAGTCAGCTAGAAAAAGCTTGTTAATGATGAAATAAAACCAGAGATCAGTTTGGAAACACTGCCTCAACAAGTAAAAGCATCCTAATAAAATGGCAAGCTTTTTTCTGGAAAAGTGATCTATTTCGGGCTTACGGATGAGTTTCCAATATGGTAGCCAGAACACAGTTATTAATATGAGAAGCATATTCTCGCCCATCTGAGCAATTAGCTATGGAGCTTGTTTTTCAAAATGTGAATCAAAGATATATTTTTATTTTTTTTCAAAGATGTATTTTTAAATGACAACTAAAACACTGAGTTATTTATGTACTATATGTTAAATGGCATATAAATAACATTGAATGTCTTTCAACTTATGTTAATAGATTTTGATGTCTTACAAAGAGTAAGTCTGTATTTTTAAAATATAAATCCTGAACCACAAAATCATGTCAGATAAAAATTCTAAAAGATGTCATATGACTAACATAAAGTTCTTTGAGATTTTTAAGAAGTACCAAATTTTTCAAGTACAGAAAATGTTATGACATTTATAGTTTTTCTATTTGAGGTACCTAAATTTTAAGTAAGAAACACCCTAAGAATTCATCTGATTCTCTTTTTGAAGCAAATTACTGGCTTCAAGATTAAATCTCAGAGAACAGAAATATAAAACTACTATATATAGCTTAAAATAATACTAAGCTTAAAATAATATTTCAAGCTAATCATATGAGACTAAATATCTAAAGATGACTTTTCCCTAATTTAGATTCATGACTCTGTTATATGCTAAATACGTACTTGCATTCCAAAATTCAAGATATACAGAACAAGAATTTTAAGTTTATTTTAATGTAGATTTGAACAGATAAACAATATAGAGAAAATAAAGTTAAACCATTTATGGTTATAGCTCTTCCTAAGGTATATTCATCAAAATTATCAGAGAAATATTTTCATAAATACACACAGCTGAAATCCAACACTGACAATTAAGAAGTGAGAATATAAATGTATGTAATTTCAAATTATATGGTTAAAAAGTGTTCTCAGGTGAACAAGTCTTGTTAAAATCCATGTTTATAGTATAGAACGCCACTGATATGCTCTGATAATGTAATTATAAAACGTAACCACTAGATGGAGTCAAAGTACTTACAGTTGGTGATGTAGCAGCAGAGAGCAAAGGTAGAATTCCTCCACAAGCAATGATGATGTTGTCTACCATTTGGGAAATGAGGTGAATTGTGTTATGTACAAAAATAATATTTTCATTGCTATTGACAAAATCCATTACAGACTTTGTGGAATGGCTAAAATAGCAGAAAGACAAAACACAAATGAACATTTCCTTGGTTTAAGAATAAAAAGTTTACAACTTATTTTTAATGTCATTTTTTAAGTGAAAAATAAGAGCTAGGCAAATTTAAAATGCAGTCATTAGAAAAGAAAATAATTTACAACAATTTAGATGTCATATTACAAAAACCAGCATTCATCTCATCATGGATTTTTTTGTGAGTCCAAGCATATTAACTTGTTATTTTGTTTCTGCTTAAAACACTACAGAGTATTAATTCGATTCAAAGACACAGGACTAGGTCAATGAATTTGGCTAAAACACTTATTTTTGCCAAAAGCTAGTTGTTTGGTATTGAAAAGCAGAGGAAGTGGATAGTTAGCTGACAAACTGTTGTATCACCAGACCACAGCTCCAGCTTTGACCAGACATATTGAAAACGTATACTGCTAGTCACAGAAGTTACATGATAGGGCAGCATAAATGAGTCCGTAAAAATTCAAGTACTTACTGCATAAAAAATGGAAAAGACCTCAAAAGCCAGCAGGGCAGCTTTGCCATACGAAACACACAATACGGATTCCCAAAAAAGCACACACACTGCTTCCGTCTGATTGTCAGTCAGGAACATGAACTGTTCTCTAACAGGAAAAACTCTACTCCATGGTCAAACTTAAGTCAGTGATTCTAACCTTTTTAGAATTGCAAGACATCATCTATTATATCTTAGATCTCAGGATGTCTTCTCATGTCCTAAAAACTAAAGTGCTATCTATCTTTTAAACTTTTTAAAAAATTTGTTAAATTACATAAAATTATGACTGGGGAATTTTATGAGAGTCCATGAAATAAAGCACAGAAAGACACACACAGTATGTTAAAAGAAGGAAAGTTGAGTATCACTTACTCAGCGGCTACTAAAATATAACAGGTAGTAAATTATATGTCTCTCCACACATTGATATTCATGTTAATAGCAATGCATTTCATGGCATTCCAGCCTCCTTATTTACCACCCCCCTAGGTAATTTAGCATGTAACATTAGTAATGGAAAGACCATTGCTTCTATCACAGAAGTAGACTAAGGACAAATTGACCAAATAAAATCAGAACTAAAAACTGTCTATGGCAGACGCTGATTACTTCTGTAAAGTTATTTCTTTTTCCCTGCTAATGTGATCTAGATTTTGTTCTATTGCTGAGCTACATCAGGTACAGGAAAGATTGGTTTCACCACAGCTACTGTGCTTGTGAGCAGTATTGCCTTGTGGAGGCCAATCATTATAATCCCATTCCTGTCTGCTGGTCATCAACTTAGAGAAAGCATATGATCCAGCTGTCACATGAGGTATCAATCAATAGGGAATTTTATGAGGGGCTTCACTTTGAAAAAGTAGAAGAACAGAATCAAGAGGAAGTGGAGGAGAAGAAAAAGTAGAGAGAGGAGGAGGAAAAAAGACACAAGGAAGAAGAGGAAGGAGAGTGGGGTGAGAGCAGGAGCACAGTCCTGCCTTCTAGTTGAGGGAAGTCTCTTAGGTTGAATTGATCCTGGGAGCCGAAGCAACCACCTTGAATCTTAGAAGGATGACCAAGAAAAGCAAACGAAGTTATTTGCGTGTTGTGAATATTGTGCCCCTGATTTTCTGAATCGCTGATGGGAGGGTATTGCTATGTACAGCCAACCACTTCCTAATTTATCTGCATGAACATATGACATCTCAAAACTGATTAATTTGCTGCATATGTGCTATTACAAAATAAAATTGGAAGTGAGGCAAGGTAATTTTAACATTTATGTAGGCTTGTTTTCTTTTTGAGAATTATTTAAACTGAAAAACATAACTGAACTGCTTTTCTATGTTGTTTTCTTTAAATGATTATATCTGAAATGATGTCCACTTACCACTTAAACAGTACAAGCTCTAAAAATGATGTCATAGTGATTTAAAAATTTTAGCACTATATGTTAAATCTTATTACCAAGAATAAATGTAGTATATGACATTAATTTTAACATTAAAAGATAAAATGTAGAAATTTATCTGAACCAGTATTAAACCTTTTTTTGTTTTACTCTCTTTTGTATATAGAATAGGTGATGCCAGATTTCAAAGTTTTGCTTTTTAATTAATTTAAGCCTAAATTCTTGATTAGTTTTTAATGTGAACCACCCCAGGTCATAACTCTTATGAAAATATTTATGTTTCTACAGAAACTTCAATGTTCTTTTTAATACATTTGTGAGATTTTTAATGATATAATTTACTTAATAATCAGGTGATTCCACTAATCTAAAATAGTCATTTTTCCCCCACTGAAAGTAGTCTTTTTTATAGAAAAGAAATATTTCTACCTCCTCCAAACATGTACATCTGTTTCTAATGCAAATAGCAAATCGGTGAGAAGTCGCTGGTGCATTGGAGACCATTTAAACTCAGGAATACGGAACATCGTAGTGCGTGGACCTGGGCTGAACTGGCGCCGCTGTTCCTCTGTCATTGGCATTCCTCGAAATCCTAAATCAACTCGGAGATCTCTGTCTTGTTGTGTGATAGACCGACCCTGAACAGCCTAGATATGGAAAAGATGGACTTTTGTATAGTGCAAAAGAAATGTCTGATTCCAAAATGAAAACAGTTAAGTATAGTTAAGTGAGCAAAGCTTTTGCATATGACTTTAATAGGTTACTATATCTGCTTTTATCATTCACCTGGTGATTGCTTGCACAGGAGGTTTTCTGAGAAGAAAAGGATACTATTATTATTTTTATTTTATTATGTTTCAGAAACTAGGCAAGGCAATCCAATACTTAAGTTTAACATCAAAGTTCACGCTGAAAACCACGTCCTCTTTAGCCCTCTTTCAGTTTTTACATTAGACCACATTCCTTCTTTATGAAAGTGAGCAAATATTCAAAGTGAAAAATACTGGATATATGTCATCAACTAACTATAATCAGAAACACAAGATTAAAAGAAACATTACTTGAACAGATTCAAGTTAACTTCAAAGTGTATTTCACTTACAATATTTCAATTGAGAAAAACAAATGCTTTTATAATTTAGAAAACTAGATAAAGGTCTGTGAACTCAGAGTGAAAACCAGGCAAACCTAGTATTATTAAGTTCAGTAAACAATGTACCATGGTTTCCTTTATTTTAAACTTGGGCTTAATTGAGCATTTTCATCTCTCTGCTAATTATCACGGTAGCACAACTGCCACAAAAATGGAAACTGGTAGTATTTAATAGGAAATAAATAAAAATACCTTTTCCATATACAGAATACATTTTCAAAGATTCTTATTTGAATACAAAGACACTAGTGAGGTACAGTTTACTCTAACATAATGCTAATGGACACATGCTAAATTATTCTTTGATAATATTAAAAGGTGAATAGAAAACCCAGGCAACAGCAACGAAAACCAAGTCACTTAAGGGTAAAAGTTTCTTCAACTGTTAAACATAAGGTATTATTTAGTGGTAAGTATATACTCAAAGCTCAATAATTAAAATTCATATCAGAAAACATCATCTGTTTCTAGCTTTAGTATGGTGAGGCCCAACTGCAGCACTAACACTTCCTCACTACCAAGCCTGAGAGTCTTTAATTTTCCCATACAAATCCCCATACATGTGTCTATAAGGAAAACTCTCACTGCTAATAACTGCAAATTTTCTCAGCCATGTTGTCTACCTCACAGGGTTGCTGTGAGGATTAAATCTGAAAACATATGGCACAGTGCCTGGAACACAGTAATCAAGTGAAAGTCGCTCAGTTATGTCCAATGACTCTTTATGACCCCATCGACTGTAGTCCATGGAATTCTCCAGGCCAGAATACTAGAGTGGGTAGTCTTTCCCTTCTCCGGGTGATTTTCCCAACCCAGGATTCAAACAAGGTCTCCCACATTGTAGGCTAATTCTTTACCTGCCGAGTTACAAGGGAAGCCCGAAACATAGTAAGCACTTGATAAATAACAGTTCCCTTTTCCCTTTCCTGTTCATTTCATTAATCAGTTTAATATGGCCTCCAAGTCCTCTTCTCTATAATCACAGAACAGGGTTGGGCTTGAAACTTAAAAGGTTAAAATTAATCAAGTATTCAGAATGAAGATCTTGAGTACAAATGTGTAAATGTAATCACAGAGTCAGAAAATATCCAAACTGGTAGAGACCTTAAAAGTCATGTTTCAATCTGGCACAAGCTCTTGCACCATAAGGGAAAATTCAGGCCCAGAGAGGTTGAGCAAAGTTATACACACAGAACGTGGTAGGGGTGGATATATGATTCAGATATTTTGAATTTATTTTATATGTAAACCCACACCACTCAATTCCATAAATTATTCTTCTACCACAATTAAGTATAAACATGCTGTGACTGGTAAGAAACTATTCTGCTTTGGTGCTAACAACTCCGTATGTCTTCAATGCATTTTGAGCACATGAAGGGTAACTTACTTGCGTCGTGGCAGTGGTCTGGATTTTACGGATTTCCTTTCCTGACTCTTTGCCATCGTCAGATCTCTCAGTGTCTGAAATTATACTTCCTGCATCAACATTTGGTACAATTTTGCTACCAGAAGATTCCGTTTCCAGCGTTGTAGCGGTCATTTCAGCATATTCTAACCCTTTAGATGATGATGCTAAGTCTCTGTCAGAAATACTGCTCATTCCATCTGAAGTGGTATGGATTTTGAACTCTTTTTCTTCTATTATACTTGATGTACAAGTCAAGTCAACACTACCAGTCATGTGAGCAAGCAATCCAAGATCATCACCAACACCAAGATGTACTTGAGTGTCCTGAATATTTGGAATAATGTGATTGCTAGAAAGTTCAGGAAGGAGTTTCTCCTCCTGCTTGGGTATTTTATCAAAGAGAAATGATGTGCTACTGTTGGGAAGTTCATCCTTATCATCTGCTAATGTTATCAATGGACCGTTATCCTTTTCTTCATTTTTTTTAATAATACCAACACTTCCATGTACATTGTTCTGGAGTTTCTCAACAGCAGCACTATATACATTATCCAACAAAGACTCAACCTCCACAAGAGCACCATTCTCTCCACCTACTAAAGTCTCTGGTGATAAATCCATATCATCAAGCTTCACTTCTGTTGCTTCCACTTTCTCTGCTTTTATGTCAACTAAAAGATCATGTACTTCCACATGCACACCACTTCCTGGTCTATCTGAATTTCCAAGAATATCATCGGGCACTTTTGTTGACATGAGCAAGTCTCTCGTGTCTGTGCTGACAGGGTAATCTGTCTCACTTTCTGGGCTCTGGCTTTGTGAGAGGTCCTCTATCTCTCGAATTTCCATTCCACCTTTTGCGCCTGTTGTCTGTGATGAGAGACCAGATATGGTGCTCACATTTCCCTTCTTTCCCTTTTTAATGTTTTCCTCCTCTTGTCTCTGATATTCTTCATACATTTTGGCTAGGTATTCCTTATGTGCTTCATAAGTGACCTTAGAAATGGGTAAAGAAAACATTTAAAGGCATTTTTGTACATGTTAAAAGAAAAAAATGATATAAACTTATGATAATAGCAAAAATGGTATCAGTAATTTTAAGGTATCAAATATATATTAATAATCCTAAGACAAAGGCTTAACTTCATCAAGTAATCAGAATATCATCAAAATAGTCATATATGACTTACTATATGATTTGTCAACACACAGACAAACTAGCATTAAAGATTTAAATAAAATGGTATCTTTAAGTGAAGTATTTCAATGTTACCCCAGTTAATATGCCAGCTGAACTCCTACATATTTCATTTATTTGAGCTAAATCAGAGTTGGCTAATAATACACAATACCCAAAGTACCATGGCGTGCGTGTGTGTGTGTGTGTGTGTGTGTGTGTGTGTGTGTATCAGTTACTCAGTCATGTCCGACTCTTTGCAGCCCCATGGACTGAAGTCCCCTGTCCATGGGGTTTCCCAGGCAAGCACACTGGAATGGCTTGCCATTTCCTTCTCCAGGGGATCTTTCCCACCCAGGCAGCGAACCCAGGTCTCCTTCACTGCAGGCAGATCCTTTACTGTCTGAGCCACCAGGGAAGCCCAAAGGACTATCACTACCTCAGTATTCACTGTATATTAAAACAAAGTGTGTCTGTTGCAACCAGTGAGGTCAAAAAATAACACATATTTACAAATATATAGTCATAAAATGTTAAAACACTGTATCTTTATATAGGCTACTTTGTTACTTTATATAGTCTTGTTTAAGAATAATCAGTACACAGTGTAGCTAGATATATATATTTCTCACACAAAGACTTGCAATGAGTTTTCCCATAAAACACTAATATCAAACTTATTAATGCAATGATGAAAATGAGGTGCTGAAATATTATACAATATAAATTTATAACAGAAATAAAGGTCTTTAAAATTTTTAATGTTTAAAATCCTATAGACACATATGATATTAATTTATATTTAAAATGACAGTATAATAGAATTTAAGGTTGAGATCTTGCTTTGAGGATTACCTTAATATAAAACCCCTTAATTTTACAGAAAAAAAATCAAGTCCCCAAAGCAGAGCTTAGCAAATTATGGCCCATGGATCAAATCAGCTTATTTTCTGTTTGGAATACAGCCATGTTCAAACTTTACATATTGTCTATGGATATTTTCACAATGCATGACAGAGTTGAGTAGTTACATCAGAGGATGCACAGCCAACAAAGCCTAATAACCATTGTGCAAAGGGATTAAATGACTTTCCTAGGCTATGATTTTTCCAGCGGTCATGTATGGATGTGAGAGTTGGACTGTGAAGAAAGCTGAGTGCTGAAAAATTGATGCTTTTGAACTATGGTGTTGGAGAAGACTCTTGAGAGTCCCTTGGACTGCAAGGAGATCCAATCAGTCCATCCTAAAGGAGATCAGTCCTGGGTGTTCATTGGAAGGACTGATGCTGAAGTTGAAACTCTAGTACTTTTGCCACCTCATGTGAAGGACTGGCTCATTGGAAAAGACCCTGATGCTGCGAGGGTTTGGGGGCAGGAGGAGAAGGGGACGACAGAGGATGAGATGGCTGGATGGCATCACTGAATCGATGGACTTGAGTTTGAGTAAACTCCGGGAGTTGGTGATGGACAGGGAGGCCTGGCATGCTGCGATTCATGGGGTCGCAAAGACTCGGAAACGACTGAGTGACTCAACTGAACTGAACTGAATGCCACAAAATTGAACTGTGGCAGAGATTGGATCAAAAGCCAACTTCTGACACCTATGCTTTTCCTGTAACACCACCACATGATGAGAAATCTTAACTGAACTTCTGTACTCTAATATGTACATATTCTAAATTTTAATTCACCACTTCCCTTTCCCCCAAATCAGACAATATTTAAAATATACACAAACATTGATTCTTAGGATTAAAAATAAAGATAATGCAATTAAGAACAACACTAAACTTAAGTACTTCAAAACTATTTATTATTCACTTAGAAATAAAAACAATTTCCAATTGAGAAAGGCTTAAAAAGTATATATCATACTCTATTTCATGAAACATTCTTAGAAGACCCAGTACAGATGTTTGAGTTAAAAGACTCAGACATAAGTTCCCAGATATCCTATAAAACATATGTGCGGGTCACATCTAAAGTGCAAAATTTAATTATAACAAGACCCCTAAAATATAGAGAAAAACAGAAACAGAATAGAAAGAAAATTGATAAAGGAATCAGCCATAATGCAAGATGCCCACAAGATGGCGCCAAGAGAGTGTTTACAGACTTCTAATACACAGCTGAAACCCTGGTGATGTAAAATGTTAAATCCCTTGTTACCTTGGAATGGGCTATTGAGAGTGTATCCACCCAGACTCTCCAGCCTCCCCATTCATATTTTATGGCATGATACAAAAGAATCCGGAAGATATTGTAAACCATCTCTGTGATCTTCTGTTCCTCAGAATTTTTAGGATTGATATAGCCAAGAGAAAACATCCAATCTTGCCACACTGAACACTGCAATAAGCATCTTGTCAGGGGGCGGTGGGGGAGGGGGGAGAAACTCATTAAAAATTCTTAGATTATATTAGAACTTACTATTTAAGATAAATAGCGAAATATGATCTGACTTAGGTAAGCCAAGGTATACAGTTATTCTGCACATTTAATATTCTAACCTGGAATGACTTTCTCCATTTTTCTACCTAGATAAATCCATATTATAATTTAAAATTGTTTTCCCAACTCTTCCAGTTAGATTAGTTACTGTTTCCCTACTCCCTCATCACATGTAGCACTCACAATGCACTTAACATATTATAAATTAATCATTTCACTGTTATCTTTTCCACTAAACCATACCAAATAAGATGTACACCAAGACAACCTGTGCAGCACAGTGCTTTATACATGGCAGACAGTCAATCAATATTTGTTAAATGTAACACTCATGCAGCAACCAGGGTTCCAAACTGCACCCCATGTCCTAGCCAACCAATTTCAAACTACATGACAATAATCAGTTATCAGACCACCTTAAGAAAAGCATAGATGATCTGAGCCAATCCAACATAATTTCATTTAAAGTACTGTTGGTGGTAGACAACGACCAGGAAAAGGAATTGTACATTTTAAACAAGGGGTTTGAGGTATGTATATTCATATATACAATTAAAATATATTACCCATAAAGTTAAATAAAATTATATAAAAATAAATGAAAGTAATCAAACTATATCAAAGAGACATAAATGCCTTTTCTAATGATTAAAAGCATTAGCAATATAGGATATATAAATTTTTTCTTTGCAAGAGACTGAAAATAATGGAGAGAAAATAAGATTAGTCATAGGATAAAGCTTTGTTATAGCATTCAAACTACTCACCTTCTATTTTCTCGGCTGTTACTGAAAAGTTTTATCATATCAGATAAAAATAAACGACGGACTTCCATGAGTTCTGCACTTGGTGTAGAGTTTTTCAACAAAGTTGCCACCACTTTAAGAATCACTGAAAACAAAAGTTACAGTAAAGGTTTATAACTGCATCATATTTTCTGCTCAAATAGTATTTACTGATTTTCAACTAAATGCTTAGCATGATGGTAGGCGAGTTGTAAATGTTGTAAGTTAAACTATAAATGCCATACCGACTCAGGTGGTTAGGAAAAGTTTTGATTTAGTTTCACATGTTACCATGTTACTACTGCATTAAAGAATTGCTCTTTGCTCACTTGGATTCTGAATTTTCACTGTAGAATCTGGCTCTGGATGTGGTTTGTGTACAACTTGAGTACATACTTGCTCTGTCAAAATCTAAAAGACAGAATTTGAATTGAATTTAGAAAATAAATTCATAATTGCAAATTATAGATATACAAAGAATCTGCAAAAAATGTCTATTTGTTCAAATCAAAAGAAATATATCTTTTAAAGGGTCTTCCAGTAGATTCCACATACTTCTAAACTCTTTTAACTCTACAGTCTTCAAATTTTGTTTGTTACAGATACAGACAAAACTAAAGCCAGTATCTATAGAAGGAAAGATTCATTAGGAATTCCGAGAACAAATTCTGTTTGAAATCACTTTTCAGTGCACATCTTTAAAACATTTAAACTGGGGGCTGTAAATATTTGACTGTTTTGTCATTAAAAAAAAAAAAAAACTTAGAAAATCAGTAAATAAGAAAATAATGTCTGAGCCTGGATCCCAACTTCAAATGAAGAACAATAAAGAAAAAATCTTTATAAAAAATGTGGCTCATTGTCATTAACCAATGAGTTTTTTTTTTAAGTTTTAATTAATTTATTTATCTTTGGCTGCACTGGGTGTTTGTTGCTGCATGTGGGCTTTCTCTAGTTGCGGTAAGCAGGGGCTACTCTTCATTGCGGTGCCTGGGCTTCTCATTCCAGTGCTTCTTTTGTTGCAGAGCATGGGCAGTAGGTGCCCAGACTTTAGGAGTTGCAGCCCATGGGCCCTAGAGTGTAGGCTCAGTAGCTGTGGAGCATGGGCTTAGTTACTCCAAGGCATGTGGGATCTTCTAGGACCAGGAATCGAACCCATGTCCCTGGCATTGTAAGGCAATTCTTAACCAATGGACCACCAGGGAAGTCCCCCAATGAGTTTTTCTGTTAAACTTCTTTTAAGTAAGAAGAAATTGCCAATGTTGACCATATAAAGGAAAGACAGAATTCTATAACTTTTATTGACTTTTCTACTAGCACCCAAGCTCTATGAGTGCAGGATTTCTATGCATCCTTTTCACTGCTACATTCCTAGCAATTAGCAAAGTGCCTAACACACTGCCCATAGTCAATAAACATTTGTCACAGTGAAGAATGAATAATCATATAGAAATTATGGATATATGAATTTTCACTGTATTTTAGGCTATACCCTGTGTTTACCTCTTTTCTTGCATATATTAAAAAACCCAATGAAATTATATTTAATAATGATATCACTTTATATTATGACTTAGTTTCATGATTTAGGTTCACACACTGAGTTTTGAATGAAACTTTCTAAATAGTTCAACCTAAAGTAATATAGAAAACTTTGAGGAAACTATACAAGTTACTTGAGAGCTTAGGTATACATAGCTACTTATAAAAGTTGGGGATGGAGAGTAAAATAATCAAGAGACAGGGATGGCCTTATAGATCAGAAAAAGATCATGACATCCAGCAGTGGCATTTTTCTTACATTTCTGCTCAGACTTAAAAACAAGAAAGAAGATAGAACATTTACTTAAGTGTACTATAAATGTGTATCAAAAAGATACTGACTGAAAATTAAAAATAACCTACTGTTATTAAAATAATAAATATAGGGCAAAAGCAACCCTGTCTTCACGCTCATACTTTTATTGAAACAAACACTTTGTTGCTTAAATACTCAAACAAAAGGCCTAGGCACAACATAGGAAGACTGGCAAGTAATTGTACATGGATATGTTTTAAAACAAAGTTTTAAAAAATGTAACTATGTGTTCATTATTTTTTAAGAATTACTACCTTTTTAGATTAAATGACCAACTACTACTTCAATCACATAGAGTTTCCACTGCATACGTTTAAAATTCTCATCACACATTTAAAAAATTTTACCTCATAAAGTGTGTTGTATGTGGTGACAGTCACAGTGTTTGTATGCAACATCAGCCTTTCTCCAAGAAGAGTGAAAAGGCTGTGGGTATGCATGATTTCAACTTTTCTTCTGAAGAAAAAGGGGGAAAAACATAATACTATTAAACACACTGGATTTTCTAACCATATGACTTTAGGATAAGTAGTAAAATCTATAAGCAGATACAGAATTACAGAAGTAGTTATGTTTACTTACTTTCATCTTCTAAAATAAATGACAGTTTATAGCATAGCTGCCTTCTAAATTACCAAGACTACTATTTAAACACTTCTCGAAACATCTGCACAAAACTGAAATGTTAGGTATACAAATTACAAAATATTATGTAAATGTTGACAGCTGTAATTTTCAAATTTCTAATAACTATTTAGGAGTTATTTTATTATGCTAAATTATTGGTTTAACACACAGAGCACAAATTTTTCAAAACCTTTCTGTCCAAATTCTATGAAATAATCTATGTAAAACTTTAATAACAAAAATTTTAAATTATGGTTAAAAATGAATACAAAGCAAATAATTTGGCAGAAGTAAAGGAAATTCATTACTGCCTATATTTGTGGCTCATTTAACTGCTGGGCTCATTTAACTGCTCCCCCAACAAATTCACACCTAGAATTTTTGTTGTTGATCAGTTGCTAAGTGCTGTCCAACTCTTTGCAACCCCATGGACTGCAGCACAGCTCTATTAGAGACCTCCTGGAACACTTAGCTTGAGCCCAGGGAATTACTACTCACCTCTTATTCACATTACTTTCTTACAGGTCTGGAACTGGATCTTTTTGGCTCTAAACCCTCAGTATCTCATTTCTTACACTGATTTTCCTTGTTGTTTGGATTTGGCAACTATGACATAAACTGACTAGATAACCACCAAACTTTTGTTCTTTTTTTCCTGAGCCCATAGCTGTACTGTAACGCTAGTCTCTACTGCAGCTACGTGTGGCCATTAGACTGAGTTCTAGTCAATGGAATTTGAGCAGAAAGTCTGTGGGTCATTTTTAGGTCTAGCCCACAGAAAAAACTCTTCCCCACAGAAGCAATACAGAAGCTTTACGATAAGGACGAAGAGGTACCAGATGAAAGGAGCATCGCTTGAAGAAATCACCTACTGAGGACACCCACTTGGCTCTTAAGTTAATAAAAAAGAAACTACTAGTGTGGTGAGTTACTAAAACTTCACTGTCTGTAACAGGAGCTTTCACCATCTTCATCAATATAGAAATCAAATAACGAACCATTTATCTGGACACCACTCACCTGGAAATCCTCGCCTCCACAATACACAACACAAAAGAGGCATGACAGTTGTTCCCCTCACCCAATCCTCCTCAGCCCAGAAGGAAAAACAGCAGAATTACCTAAACCCAAGAGGCAGCTAGGGCAAGTGTCTATAGGGCAAGTGTCTAACGGCTGTGTTTGCAAAACAAATAAGACTGGGAAGTCAAATGGTTTTATTTATGTCAGGACAGATGGATATTACAGGATTACCAAGGGGGAGACTTTGGTCTCTTCCAATTCAAGCCACACCTAAGGAAAGGAAGTCAGGCACTTTCATTTGTTCCTGGTCAGGAAAACACAAATGCCAATATATATCCCTTGATATATCTTCTGACACACAGAACTGGTTAAATGAGGCTATCTGAAAGTTGGGGCAGCCTCTTAACTGTGACACACAATTTCAGCTACTGAAGAAACGCATGCTCTTCTGATTGCCTCCTACAGTGCAAGTGCTTACACAGGGCCTTAACTCCAGCTCCTGGGGGACTTGACGAATACTGTGTTTACACCAGGGAAGAGACGAGACAGCTTCCTCTCGTAGTCTCCTTTTAAACAGTACTCACCAATAAATGCTGCTGCATAGCAGTCAACATAAAGCCAAACACGGCATTCATCATTTCAGGCACAAAGTGGGTGCACTGGCCCTGGAAATCACAGGATTCTGTTTCCCACAGGACAGCTAACAAAGACCCAACTCTATGCATTCCGTTCAGAGAGGTTTCACTAGGGTATGTATTCAGGGAACTAATATCTTGAACCTGCTTAACTTTAAGACGGAAATAGACTTCAGGTTGTATGATACATGCTACATTTTTTAAGAAATTAGAAACCCCTCTTAGAATGTGACTGGAGGACTTTACTTTCTCATCAGCAATGCATGAGGATTGCATTGTTGTTCTGCTTCTATTCAAACCAAATTATCTTCTATTTTTCATTGTGATTTCTTTTTATACCCAGAGGTCATTTAGAAGTGTGCTATTTACTTCATCTATTTACTTCACAAACCTTGTGATGAAAACATTTTCTTGTGGTGAAATCTATTCTCTTAGAAACCTTCAAATATACAATACAGTATTGTTAACTATAGTGACCATACTGTACACTTCATCCCCAGACCTCATGTATCTTACAACTGGAAGCTTGTACCTTTTGACCTCATCCACTCATTTCTCCTAGCCTCTACCCTGCAGGCTGTGGAAGTGCCCCATCTGTTCTCTATTTCTATGAGTTTGGTTTCTACAGATTCCACATACGAGTGAGATGACAAGAGTATTGGTCTTTCTCTGTCTGACTTATTTCACTTAGCATAGAGCCCTCAAGATCCATCAAAGTTGTGCCATATGACAGGATAGCCTTATTTTTATGCCTGGGTAATATTACACTTTATAAATAAAAGAACAGGGAAATCTACAACCTAACTGTCCATGTTTTCTTTATCTATTCATCCACAGATGAACATTTAGATTGTTTCCATGTTCTGGCTATTTGCAAATAATGCTGTAATGAACATGAGGGTACAGAAATCTCTTAGAGATTCTGATTTTAATCCCATTGGATATAGATTCCCAAAAGTGATATCACTGGACCATATGGTAGTTCTACTTTTAATTTCTTGAAGAATCTCCATAAAGTTTTCCATAGTGGATGCACCGATTTATACTCACACCAACAGTGGACATGGATTCTTTTCTTTGTACCTTTTACCTTTTTGATAACAGTCATTCTAACAGGTATGGCTTAGATTTGCATAGGAATATTGAGCACATTTTCATGTACTGTTGTATGCCTTCCTTGGAAAAATGTCTATTCACATCTTCTATTTCTAAATTGGGTTATTTGCTCCTAAGTTTATGAAGACTTTATATATTTTATATATTAATATCTTATCAGTGATATGATTTGCAAACATTTCTCCCATTCAGTAGGTTTCTTTTTCATATTGTTGAATTTCCTTTGCTGGACAGAAATTCTTTAGATTGATATAACTATTTATTTTTGCTTTTGTTGTCTAATCCATGTCTAAAACCACTGCCAAGACTGACTTCAAGGAGCTTACCGCCTATGTTTTCTGGTGTAATGCTCAAGTCTTTAATCCATCTTGAGTTATTTTTTTTTTTCATTTTGAGTTAACTTTTATCTAATGTGTAAGACAGAATTGCAGTTTCATACTTTGGCATTTGGTTTTCCAGTTTGCACAAACCTCTGCCCATAGTTCATCAGGCACTCTGTCTATCAGATCTAGTCCCTTAAAACGATTTCTCACTTTCACTTTATAATCAATCATAAGGGATTTGATTGAGGTCATAACTGAATGGTCTAGTGGTTTTTCCATACTTTCTTCAATTTAAGTCTGAATTTGGCAATAAGGAGTTCATGACCTGAGCCACAATCAGCTTCTGGTCTTGTTTTTGCTGACTGTACAGAGCTTCTCCATCTCTGGCTGCAAAGAAAATAATCAATCTGATTTCGGTGTTGGCCATTTGGTGATGTCTATGTGTAGAGTCTTCTCTTGTGTTGTTGGAAGAGGGTGTTGATCAAGACCATCCCCAAGAAAAAGAAATGCAAAAAACCTAAATGGCTGTCTGAGGAGGCCTTAAAAACAGCTGTGAAAAGAAGAGAAGCAAAAAGCAAAGGAAAAAAGGAAAGATATACCCACTTGAATGCAGAGTTCCAAAGAGTAGCAAGGACAGAAAAGAAAGCCTTCCTCAGTGATCAATGCAAAGAAATAGAGGAAAACAATAGAATGGTAAAGATTAGAGATCTCTTCAAGAATATTAGAGATACCAAGGGAAAATTTCATGCAAAGATGGGTTCAATAAAGGACAGAAATGGTATGGACCTAACAGAAGCAGAAGATATTAAGAAGAGGTGGCAAAAATACACACAAGAACTGTACAAAAAAGATCTTCATGACCCAGATAATAATGATGGTGTAATCACTAACCTAGAGCCAGACATCCTGGAATGTGAAGTCAAGTGGGCCTTAGGGAGCATCGCTATGAACAAAGCTAGTGGAGGTGATGGAATTCCAGTTGAGCTATTCCAAATCCTAAAAGACGATGCTGTAAAAGTGCTGCATTCAATATGCCACCAAATGTGGAAAACTCAGCAGTGGCCACAGGACTGGAAAAGGTCAGTTTTCATTCCAATCCCAAGAAAGGCAATGCCAAAGAATGCTCAAACTACCGCACAAATGCACTCATCTCACAGGCTAGTAGAATAATGCTCAATATTCTCCAAGCTAGGCTTCAGCAATACATGAACCATGAGCTTCCAGATGTTCAAGCTGGTTTTAGAAAGAGCAGAGGAACCAGAGATCAAAAAGCCAACATCCACTGGATCATTGAAAGAGCAAGAGAGTTCCAGAAAAACATCTATTTCTGTTTTATTGACTATGCCAAAGCCTTTAACTGTAAGGATCACAATAAACTGTGGAAAATTCTGAAAGAGATGGGCATACCAGACCACCTGACCTGCCTCTTGAGAAATCTATACGCAGGTCAAGAAGCAACAGTTAGAACTGGACATGGAACAACGAACTGGTTCCAAATAGGAAAAGGAGTATGTCAAGGGCGTATATTTTCACCCTGCCTTATTTAACTTACATGTGGAGTACATCATCAGAAACGCTGGGCTGGAAGAAGCACAAGCTGGAATCAAGATTGCCAGGAGAAATATCAATAACCTCAGATATGCAGATGACACCATCCTTATGACAAGAAGTGAAGAAGAACTAAAGAGGCTCTTGATGAAAGTGAAAGAGGAGAGTGAAAAAGTTGGCTTAAAGC